GAATTAAAAAATTTCCTCTTGCTAGTATTAGTGGCACAGCAATGTATTATAGCAGTTCCTGCACCAAAATCAAGAACCACATCCTGGCTTGGCTAAGAATACCAGTTCCAGTGACTCTGGATAGCATTCCTTAGGTTTACAGAGAATGCATTCCTCAGTCCTTTCATTCAGAAACAGTGAAGTATCAGAATGTCTGTATGTCCTTCTAATACTAAAAAGTAAAAAAAAAATGGGCAAATTTGTAGTCTCCAAAAATTACTTTTTTAAAAATTTACTGATCTTGCTCCTGTTGTCACTGACAGGATTCAGGCCAGGACTGAATCCCAAATTCAGATGACCTTGCATATTTTTGTCAGAGTGCATGCACACTAGTCAACTCCATGTATTATAATTTATTTGAAGACAACAGAAACATTGAGAAACATCAGAAGCCTGTTCTACACACTGACACATGGGAAATCCAAATAATACTACATTTACCACTAACAGAAATGGAAATAAAAGAAAGTCAGAGTGCCAGAAACTTACGAGATCCATTCTAAAATAGAAAGATGTTCAAATAAAAGATGAAGGCATTCACTTGAAAGAAAATGTGGTTTGAATGCCACAGGCAACATAGGTGGGGACTAAATGAAAAATGTAATGAATAGGGTTTGAGCTGTCCTTATACACAGTGTACTACAGAGATGCAGCTTCTCCTACGGCACAGCTCTGGAGTTCATGCAGAGAACAGCAACGAGTGCTGTCACACAGAAAGATGCAGGATGTACTCAATGACCAAAACACATGAGAACCACACCAGCAGCAACCAAACATGAAACCCTCCTAGGAGCAAATGGACTTAGAGGACTGACAACTCAGAGAACAAATTGGGAACAAATAAGAAGGAACTGATGTCATGAGCTACACACCATTTGCCTCTAGCATTAAAAAAAAAAAAAAAAAAAAAAAGTAAAAATTCTGAATTAAAATTCAGAGCCTATCTATTCTACTGACAATGGACAGACAAATCTTTTATTATCATAAGCAAAATATCAGAAATTTCCAGCTCCCTTGGAGTACTGAATGCATGCCCAGTTGTTCTGTTTGATTACCCATAAATCTTGATGGGATATTTTGGACTGTATGAAAACATAATATTTCAGATTTTTCTTTATACTATATTACACCATATATTTCTGCTGCAAGAATATTAATTTTCCCTATTGTCTCTTAGAAGGAAACAAAAATTCTGTGATTCAAGACACACTGACTTGATGGCAAAAACTGTATCTGTCAGTGTAGCACTTTCTGAAAGCATTCCTCTTTCTAAAGCCTACAGAAAAAAACATTATTAATGAAACCAGAGCTGACTGTTTTTACATTTACCATTTAGTGCTTAAATATAACTAAGCCTACCACCTTAAGTATTAGCAAAAAGGTGATGTATTATAAGAATGGACATAAATATCAGGCATATCAAAGAAGTGCATTAGAACCAGCAGAACTGCCTTATCTATAAACAAAAATAAAGCTAACTAAACAAACACAGTCTCTTAAATAATAGCCACCTGTGTTGAATGTAGGTTAGATATTTTCTTTCTAAAAGTGTAAGTCTGTCTGTCTTACATATATCTTTCAAATAATGACTACAGAGAACACTACTCTTTCAGTTAAGTCTCCTGATAAACATACAATCTATGCAATATACGTGACCTAATGGTCAACCTTAAGTATACTTAGGTATGCAAATCAGTGTGGTGAGCAGTGTATCCTCATCTTGTACCCAGCTAGGTGGGAGTGTTGATCTGCTGGAGAGTTGGAGGATCTGCAGAGGGATCTGATCAGGCTGGATCAATGGGCTGAGGCCAGTGGTATGGAGTTGAACAAGATCAGGCACCAGGTCCTGCACTTGTGTCACAACAACCCCAGGCAACACTACACGCTGGGGGAAAGTGGAAAAGAACCTGGAGGTATTGATCAACAGCCAGCAGTGTGCCCAGGTAGCCAAAAAAAGGCCAACAGTTTCCTATCTTGTGTCAGTCTTTTGCTGACCGCTTGTTGCAATACAAATGATGTTATATCAATAAGCAGCAGACCAGCCATGTCACTCCCTCTGGTCTTAAATCACACACCAAGGATCGAAGGTGGCCAACCACTGGAGGAACAAAAAGGTTCATCAATTCACTCACAGTGCTGAATGCAGCAGAGGCAGGGGCGAATTGACTGAGGACTCAGGAGATCAGTCCAACTCCAATTGTGTGGCCAAAGAATAATGCCATTGTTCCTTCCTCTGCTCACAGCCGTGCTGACGTCCTGCTGCTGCTGGGGGCTCTGCCTCCAGGAGGCAGCTGGGAGTTCCTTCCACTAACTAGAGCTCCTACATCATATAGTTACTACACAGATAAACCCTCCCCCAAACCACTGTAAGCAGAGCCAGCTTTTATGCTGTTAACTTGGAAGCAGAACACCTGATGTTAACGCCAAAGGCAGAGGTACCTAGTGGTGATCCCCTAATCAGTTCCCACCCAAGGCTGGCCAGACCCTGGGTGAAAACCAACCAGGAACATCTGTCTTGCCTGGCTGTGGACATCATCCATATGTCAACCCTGATTCAGGGCTGGGGGTTTAACCCTCAGTACTTCAACCAGAATTAGTGTGGCCAGCAGGACTAGGAAAGTGATAGTCCCCCTGCGCTCAGCAGTGGTGAGGCTGCACCTTGAGTACTGTGTTCAGTTTTGGGGTCCTCACTACAAGGACATTGAGTTGCTGGACCATGACCAGAGAAGAGGAACAAAGCTGGTGAATGGTCCAGAGAACAAGCCTTGTGAGAAGTGGCTTGTTTAGCCTGGAGAAAAGCAGGCTCAGGGGAGACTTTTTTGCTCTTGACAACTCCCTGAAAGGAGGCTGGAGACAGGTAGGGGTCGGTCTCTTTTCCCAAGGAGCAAGTGACAGGACAAGAGGAAACGGCCTCAAGTTGCACCTGGGGAGGTTTAGGTTGGACATTAAGGAAAAATTTCTTCTCCGAAAGGCTTCTCAAGCACTAGAACAGGCAGCCCAGGGAAGCAGTGGAATCTCCATTCCTAGAGGTATCTAAAAGCCGTGTAGATGTGCCGAGGGACGTTGTCTTGTGGTGACTGGGCAGTGTTGGGTTAACAGCTGGACTCAATGATCTTAAAGGTCTTTTCCAACCAAAACAATTCTATGATATGGAACACACTTTTTAGGTGGGCCAATGTTTAGCTTCCTTATGTTCATATAAACTTACAAAAGCTCTGATGAAGCAGAATATCTCATAAAGTAATAAATATGTATACAGATTGAGGGACAACAGCTCCCACATTTTCAAAGGCCCGAAATCCACAAAGACTTGCACAGGTGTTTAATTTTAGGCATTGTATAGACGGCATTTTAAGGGGTCGTTCTGCAAGTTACAAGATGACTCCAAATATAAAAAAAACATAAATGAAAGCAGAGATCAAACTGTGAGACACAGAAAGCCAAGAACAAATCACACCCCAAAATGTGAGCTAAAAAATTTTAACATTTTAAACCAGGTAACAATGATCCCAAGTACAGAAAGCAACCGACTTGCACTCTGCCACATAAACCAAAGCTCAAACATCTGCTCTCCTGTGTGTTAGCTCAGCATGCGTGAAACTAACATGCACAGAACCATGAGAAACTGAAGTGCAAGACATCTCCACCTGGCCCATTTAATGAAGTATGGCAAATGGTTGAGCAGGTTGAATGTGTAGAAGGAATATCGAGTAATCTCTGTCACAGTCCATACGACCAGAAAAAGAATAACGCTCTCTTCATTCTGGATCTGCAGAAGTATAAAGAACCAACACTTTCTTCATCCTTAAGCTTCTTTTCTGTGCAAACTGCAACAGACTTCTGTTTAAGATATATGGAACAGAACTAACATCTTGCAAAGAAAGAAAATTTGGCATAAAAGTGATATTCTGAAACCATTACCATGTACGGTTCTTTATCACATATATTTACAAACATACAGACATTTTGCAAACTAAGCAATCTTTATCCGTTATGCAAATATCAAAATATGAACCCCTATAATTAAGCTTACTCCTGCTCTTTAGTCTCTACCTGGATTTTCACTGTCTACAGCAGACATGTTCCTTGTATAATTAGTTTTTACCCATTCTTCATTGCACTACTCTGTCTCCTAGACACTCTAACTTTTTATGTTGCTTCTTCCTCTCTGCATCATGCACATCTCTATGAAACTTTAGACAAAAGCAATTGCTTGGCATACTCTACTAACTGGAACTTGGTTGCAGAAAATCAAATTTGGTAGACTTCAGGGAGCTGTAAGATAGTCAAAGAGCTAGAAAACAGATGGATCACCAAATGAAGAATAGCTGGTAGATCAGGAGCTTTGAGTAAACTCACTCAACAATCTCATTTACTATTTCAGTTCTGAGTCATTGAACTGTCTCATCAGTAGGTAGCACATCTCTGCTGTTTCAAAACATTACTTCTTTTTCACTCTAAGTGAACAAATAAACAGAAGTCTCCAAACACAAAGAAGGCACCTGGGGATTACAAGCACTACCTTACAAGAAGAATTACACAAAAGTAATTTTCTTTTCTTTAAAAGGGGAGGAATTTTGTAATACACTTCCATGCATGAAGGCTGAAAAGCTCCAGGGATGTCTGAGAAAGAAAATAAAGTAGCAGAAGTTCCATTAAAATTATGAAAAAGGGAAATGATCTTTTAAAATAAAATACAACATGGTGACAAAGCTTAATACATCTTAAAGATGCTGAAATTCCACAACTCTGTCAAAAGTCAAGAGAAATTATAGATGTTCACCATGTCATAAAATTGCACCTTCAATGTGTCAGTAAAGAAAGTGCACTTGTAATGAAAGGATGTCACCAACATCACAAGAGAAAAGGAGAAACAAAAATACCACCAAGCTCACCAATAGCAACAACTGAAGTGCAAAGACATCCAAACAAATACACAAAGATAAAGACAGAATTAGGCTGTTCTTAGCCTCATGTGATTAAAGACAAACATTGATAACCCAAACTTGGATTCATGTCACAGTGCTAAATCCAAGCAGAAGAGCTTTAAATAAGTATGCAGAGAATTCCTATTCATTGCCTTGCAAATCTCCAGTCAAGTAGAAAGATCTAGGGCTGGCTATTATCACTAACATGCCTCTCGCCACCTAAAGTGACCCTGAACATTCATGCCTGCTAAGCAGTGACAGCATGAAACACAATCAGACATACATTCAGCTGTATTTTCTCTGGGACACAGCTTGACCTACAGTACTGAAAACAGAGAAAACAAAAGAAATTACTGGATATGCTGAATATTTAATCCACTGCAGAGGATAACAAAATTACAAAATGCAGTGCTATATTCCAGCATTCATGTACAGTCAATACAAAAAAAAAAAAAACCCAAACTTTTCAATCTTTGAGATACTTTCCCTTAAGGAAAAAATTAAAACACTTAGCTTACAAAGAAAATGCAAATTAAAGAGCCTATGAAAAGCCTATTCCATGTTAAGAAAAGTGACAGAGAAGAAAAGATGAAGTGCAGAAAACAAGTGCTCTGTTAAATGAAACAAAGGGATGTGACAACTGAGGCAGGTGCTATGCTATCCCATCATCAGAAAGGCTTATGCCATCTGCTGGTAAGACAGTTTAAAGCTCAGCTTTTTAAGTTTAAAGAAATTCAGGAGCACAGACTCAAAATCCATCCTTTAATTCTGACATGCCCTTCACAGAAAGCAGCCCTCAGCAGCTGAACTGAATGTCCTATCTACTAGCTGTAAGCAGTCTACTTGTTCTATTCTGCTAATGAATCACACCTACAACAACCACCTATAGCCAGGCAAATAAACTATCATAATTCATACAGGACCTTAAGTGTCACTGTGGCATGTTGGATAAGTTGATATATTTTTAATGAAAAAAAAAATGCAGTATGTATGTCATCAAATATTAATATTGACATAACATTAAAATCTTGAGAAGTTTCCTAAAATATACTGCATAATCACAACCATGTTTATCCAGGTAAACTTAATTTAAGAAATACTTTCATTTAGATTAATTCAGTACTTGCTAATTTTTGAAAGGAAATCAGTAACACTGCGGTAGATTAGCTGGTAAATAATAGCAGTAGTCATTGACCTCACTTAGAGAGACCACAGCTAGCACGATGCTGAAGACAGTGCTCATTCACAGCTAAGACCCAGACTTGGTCTCCTGGGTAAAAGCATGTAAATTCCATCCTGTAACCTCAACTTCCAAAAATCACACTCAAGTATGCAAGTATTCTCTGTAGGAATGTAATTAATTTTTACACAGGTCTTCCTTGTGAGATGAAAACTATATTAATGGCTTCTCTTTAAAAACAACCAAAACATGACCTGCTCACACACGTACCTGTTTTATACTGTGTGCAATGAACCACACCATGAAGATTCTTGAACTCACTTGGACCCCAGTCACAAGCACAGATGTGCGAACTATTCCTTAAAAAGAGAAACATGTTATCTCTGTCCTGCAATTCATGTTTCAGTTAGTCACAGGAGAAACTAAAACAAAGAACTCACCAATGGCACAGTGGATTACCTGTAAATAAAAATAAGTTAGAGGTTACTGACGTCCATTGTTACTATCTACGTCATAAACATGGTCTTTTGATATTAATATAAACCTAGGCTTAATTCTGAAGGAGAACAGGTTTTCTATCTCCAACAGTCTTGAAAAGAAACATACATCACAGCCCTGGCAACTAATGCTGTGATTGACTCAGTATCTCCTCTGTGCAAACACATGAAAGAGATTTATTTTCCTAATTAATTGTCTATATTACATATTTAGATACCTACAAAGCATTTCTTTTTTCAACTGGCAAGCTTCCCTTCCATTATCTTATTCAAAGAAGAATTTCACAGGACAGCGTGCAAGGAGTCATATAAGGGATGCTAAACACAGAGCCATTTAAAAATGTTCTATATAATAATATTAATAATCCATAATGAATAATTATTATAATTTTACCAAAGACAGCCATGAAGCTTCAGATATACTGTATTTTCTGTTTAGCAAATAAGAATGCTTTTCATTATTTGGACATAATTGGATGGAATTACTTATTGTAACAGTTCAGTAGCATAAAAGCCTATATACAGCTGGTGACATGATTTTAATAGTTGTTTGAACTAAAGATGTTGTAGGTAGATTGAGGAAAAAAAGTTAAAAAATGTAGATTGACACTCTTTGTTGTGCCTGGGAAAGAACTGCAAGTGCTCAAGACACCCAACAGCTTCATACCATAGATGTACCATAAACTGAAATCACCAGTGCAGAGTTGGTAAAAGCTCTATTATTCAAAGAGTAGTTTGCACAACTTGCAGAGACCTTGTTGGAGCAGATGATACCGGGCATATGAATCATTCTGCAAATAAGCAGAAGCAGGAAAGCAACAGAAGGATAATGAGTCCAGTATAAGGAATAAGAGGGAAGGTATCACCCCTGGAGATGGAGATATCCATTTTGCTGGCGGGTTGACAGGCTGGCTGAAATGCCTTCAGAAATTTTGCCTTTTGAGTTAAGGCTCTAAAATCAAAGCAGTTTCCAATCAGTATTTGACTTAAAGAAATATTACAATTATGTTTGAAAAAATCTGCTCATGTGTTTCAACTCATCACCCCTCAAAAGACTCCATTAAGTAAAGTTAAAAGTTTAGGTACCAATATAATATTTTTATATTAAATTCAGGTTAACAATGTGTTGTGCCTATGACATGCAACACGCAGTAAAGCAAATTAACGTTTAAAGTTTACCTCAAGCAAAGCAATTGTCTGGAAGAATTTAAGTGTCTTTTGAACACTTCTGAATAAGCCTCTATGTGTTCCTTTCTGTAAATAAAACCGTGCCATGGCAATACCTAACACCAGCCACCTACAAAAGAAAGAGAATGGATACATTTCAAAATAGAATTCTAAAAATATCCATCCACCATAAGTAATTTAGTAGAATGTTTTCTTCACAGAATATCTTTGCTTCTTCCCTTGTCAGTGTTCTTAGGAGATTATTAAAAATATCTTTAGACATAAATATTGCATGATGCTATGTAAACATTACACTTTTTTCTCTTTACTTGGAAAGGGATGGAGAATTACTTGTTTACCTTCAGAGGACTGACTTGAATTGAGGAGACTTCTCCCCAAAAACCAGGAGTCCATCAGACTTTTCACTAGCAGTGATTTAATATTTTTATTTCTTAAATCCTCATGCATCTTTACTGTACTGTTAATTCCTGCTATTTGAAAACACACGATGAGCTCAGCACTGAAGTCACTGGTTTGGGTCGCAGGTTTGTATAAGTAAAGGACTGGAATCTATCTGCATCATTTTTACCTTTTTCATGGCCCCTCAACTCATAATTTTCAGAACTGACTACTGACCTGAATGCTCCTGTCTGTGACTGTCCAACTGAAGCTACCATTATGATTCAGTTTTCAGAAGTGTTGAGAAGCCATCTTTGAAAATCAGACTCCAAAGTGCTGAAAGACGGGTGCTCTACACTCCCGGGCTTCTGGAGGCAGGTATATTTAACTGGTACATTTGATGGTGTTGGCTAGTTTCTTAACATATTTTTAAGGAAACTGAACAACTGATACCAGATGATAATCCTTCCAATGTAAAAGAAAGAAGGTAACAGTATTTTGAAATAAAAGCTTAAATTGAAACCTCAAATGGAAATTGAGAATTAAAAAAACACCAAATTTCTAAACTGCAGTGGATTGATCCCCACCACCCAGCTCAGCCCCAGTACAATAACCCAAGGCATGTGCAAACCATTCCACATAATTAATCCATGTTTATATAATTGAGATTTTCAAAATAAGTTCCACCCTTAATGCAGAGCTATACCCCATTTTTACAAACATCATGCTAGCAAGATGCCTTGAAACTTCAGGTTTCAATCCACTGAGACTAAGAAAGCAGAAAAACTCCTTACGATAGACTTATGGGCATAACCAGAACTATGGATGGCTATTTTGAGAGTTTAAAATAGAAATGCAAAAATTACAATAACTAAAAGCTTAAGTTCTTGTTTGATGATATTGGGAACAATCACTTGCTCCGTTCATTCTACACAAAGTGAAACAGAAGCAGATTCAGAGAGCATATAAACATCGGGAGGAATATTTACCTATAGATTGGGATAAATATTTAACACACCTCCAGTTCCTATACTCTTCCCCAAGCATAAGGGATTGGCTAACATTGGAAAGAGGGTACTGGGAAATCCTGATCTTTGGTCAGACCCGTCACGCTGGAATGGTGTGAGAGGCACAGGGACTGTGACAGCTCTCTGTCCACCTCAGATGGCGTGGACTTCATTATCAGCCCTGTAACGACTCTCACCCATGGAGTCTATTGCTACCCAGCCCCTTGGCATGGCCTGTTCCAGCATTTCAAACTCACACAGAGACAGACAGACTTCCTTCCCCACGTGGTTGGAATGATTCCTCTCCTTGATCCCTTCTACTTTAAGCCCATGAAACAAATCTGCCAGAGCTGAAAAATTTGCCCCCAGAAGTATTGCTTAGAATTTGTAATGGATTTTAAATCTGAATGCATTAATTTGAGGTTGTCTCCCACCACTCTGGAAACGAGGAACTGCCTGACTCTCCCTGGTCGTCCTTCACAGTCTAGCTGCCCTGTTTAGTAGTGAAGTGTTTGACAAGAGGAAGGTGACAGTGCATTTACATCCAGCTGGCACCACGAATGGTGACAGCAACAGCTCTGTCCTAGCACTAGACCAAGAAGTCATAATACATCTAACCTAACAAGGCATCTTCTGCACCTCATACTGTAACAAAAGGATTGCAGAGAGAACTCACTTTGCACTACGCACAGAAGCAAAGACTGCAAATATATTTTTCTTAAATAAATTATTATTTGGACATGAATTTCTCTAGATTAATTTATTTAGCTATCAGTGGCTTTGACTTTGGATCTCAGGAAAGCCCTTGTGCTAAATATTGCAAACCACCAGGAAATGCAAAATACTTTCTGTAATAAAGGTAGCAGCATTTCCAGCTGGGAGTTTCAGTAAGACTGGGTACCAATCTGTCATTTTAGTCCCTTAAGCCTGTGTTCAAAAGAAAGATAGGCCACTTTGTTTGTTTGTTTGTTTTGTTTTTATTTAGAATGACTGTTAACATGCTATTAGGTCTGTTAAAAACTCTAGAAACACTTTGCTATATTGCACTGTCTGGACAAATACACTGTTCGAAATCCTTATTTATCCTGTGTAGTGCCCCTTTTAAGTATTGGTCTATTCCAAATGTTTATTTTTCTCTTAAACTGTATCTGTAGAAGATTATAAGAATTTATTCCCATCTCTTAATTATGTTTCCACATAAAATATGCAATTGTGCACATCTTAATCTGTTTAGATATTAATGGAAGACAGGAGAGAAGTGGGAGATACTGAATCAGGACCTAAGGTCAAAACTAACATAGTTTGATAATCTTCTACAGACATACAGAAGTCAGTGGCAAGAGTCAGTGTTCATTAGCAAATTCACACATGGAGCACAAGGCTGGGAAGCCAATGAGGTGACATTAACCTGCCAACTAGAAAAAGACTACATCCAGTAAAAGCACTTTTCAAAAGATGCTGCTGCAGTATATAAACAGACTTGAAACATGATCAAGATTCACCGGTGCGGGTGAGAAGAAAGCCATTAGAATCCTACTCCTGGCTTTCCTTGTGCTTGAACTGCTGCTTCAACTACAGCCTGTCAGCTTTAAGGGACTCAAAGGGCAGATTTCACTCACTGGTAACTAAGGTTAAATTGTCCTCATGATGACTGTCAGCCTATAAGTTATAAACTGTTCATTCTTCATTTTCTTTTAAGTATGTGGAAATTATCAGGCTTGGTATTTTTTTTTCCCAGGGGTTAGTGAACGGGACAAACCTTCATGAAGTGAAAATACGCGCTTCAAGCACTAACAACTTCAAACTGATCGCTCATATTATCAAAGCGAACTCCGACTTTGCTCAAAGCAAAGCACTGCAGCACGGAGCGGCGGCTCAACCGCGCCTCTCGGTGATCCCCGGACATCCCAGCGGCACCCAGCGTCGCCACCCAGCCCCCGGGGGCCGCGGGGATCCGGGGCTCACGGACCCGAACGAGC